AATAAACCTAACCAAAGACATTAAAGATTTCTACACTGAAGATTTCTAATCTCTAAAGAAGGGATAGAGGAAGACACTAGGAGATGGAAAGACCTACCATGCTCACGGATTGGTAGAATCAATACTGTGAAATGACCATCTTACCAAAAGCATTTTATAGATTCAATGAAATCCCAATAAAAATACCCACAAAATTCTTCACAGAGCTTGAAAAAAATCATCCTAAAATTCATACAGAATCACAAAAGACCCCAGATAGCCAAAGAAATTGAGTAAAAACAACAATGCTGGAGAGATTACATACCAGAGCTCAGATTATATTACAGAGCTATAGTCATAAAAACAGCATGGTACTGGCACAAAAATAGACACATAGCTCAATGGTGCATAATAGAAGATCCAAGCATGAGTACATGTAATTTCATCCACCTGATATTCAACAAAGGTGCTAAGAACACACAATGGAGGAAAGACAGCATCTTCAACAAATAGTGCTGGCAAAACTGGATCTCCACCTGCAGAAGAATGAAACTGGACCCTTATCTTTCACCCTGGACAAAAGTCAACTACAAATGGATCGAAGATCTCAATATAAAATCAGAAACTGCTAGAAATAAAAATAGGTAGCACCCTCCAAGATATAGGCGTAGGAAAGGACTTTCTAAATCAGACACCAGCTGCTCAGACACTAAAGTCAACAATAAATAAGTGGGACCTCATTAAATTAAAAAGCTTCTGTACAGCAAAAGAAATAACCAAGAAAGGGAAGAGGAAACCCACTGAGTTGGAGAAAATCTTTACCAGACATATATTGGACAGAGGATTAATATCCAGAATATACAAAGAACTCAAAAAACAAAGAAATAAGAAAATAAACAACCCAATAAAAAGATGGTCAATAGACATCAACAAAGAGTTCTCAAATGAAGAAATAAAAATGGCTAAGAAGCAACTTAAAAAGTGTTCAACATCTTTAGTAATTTGAAAAATGTAGGTAAAAACCATTTTAAGATTCCATCTTGCCCCAGTCAGACTGGCTAAGTTCAGAGAATGAAAGATCCCAAATGCTGGAGAGGATGAAGAGAAAGAGGAATGCTCGTTCACTGCTGGTGGGAATGCAAACGTGTATCCACTATGGAAAGCAGTGTGGAGAATTCTCAAAAAAGTATAAATGAATCTACCATAGGATCCAGTTATACTACCCCTTGACATATACCCAAAGGACTCATCATACTGTAGAGATACCTGTACATCCATGTTTGTTGTTGCTCTCTTCACAACAGCTAAGGAATGGAAAAAATCCAAATGTCCCTCAACTGACGAATGGTTAATGAAAATTTTGTACAACTGCACAATGGAGTTCTAGTCAACAGTAAGAAAAGCTGAAATTATGAAATTTGCAGGTAAATGAATGGAACTAGAGAGTGTCATACTAAGTGAAGTAACACAAGTGCAGAAAATCAAGCGAGGTATGTTCACCCTCATTTGCAGATTGCAGCATCAATCCCTTATATGTGAGCATATAAATTCTGATGTAACACCAGGAGCCAAGAAAAGGGAAAGGATACACTGAGGTAAAGGAAAAGAAAGAACCTGAAAGGGGGATAATAGGGAGCAGATGTTACCAGGGGGGAAGTGGGTAAAGTGGGAGTATTCAGCAGGAGGAGAGGAGGGAAGGTCATAAAAGGGGCCTTGGTGTAGGGGAGGGGGGATGTCAGGAGAGTGAGGATGATAGAAGGTGGGTGTTATTGGGGGAAGGGTGGGGATAATGGGGGCACTGTGACTAGGGATGGAGGAGGGAGGCCAGATGGGAGAAAAAGGAGTAGAGACGGATGAATCTTGAGGGGGCTAGGAAACATAGAGGGAAAAGTGATGCCCTTGAAACCCCATGAGAAATGTACATACAGTGTCTGAAAATTAATGCATGTGTATACCTGGGAGCTATTTGGCAAGGAACACAGTGCTAGACAGAAGAAACTTCCTTTTGGGTGGTTGGTGACGGTGGTCCAGGAGAATCCCAAAATAACACAGGCTATTTCCCAACCTCTTGATTATCTCCCAGAACTAGTAAGTAAGACCCTACTGTAGGTGACGGTGGTCCAGGAGAATCCCAAAATAACACAGGCTATTGCCCAACCTCTTGGTTATCTCCCAGAACTAGTAAGTAAGACCCTACTGTTGAAGACAGCACATCCTTAGGATAATGGATTTGAAACAATGGAGCAGGAACTGACTTGGAAGCCTTCTAACTGAAGTTTGGCTATCATAATGCTAGATGATGACAGGCAATCTGCCAATCAATGATCCAACCCAGTCCTAAAGCCTAATAACCATAATGATTGGCATGGCAAACTACCTCTACTGGTACAGTAGTGGCACTGTTATCTGTGTGTGTGTGTGTGTGTGTGTGTGTGTGCGCGCGCACATGTGCGCACACGCAATTAACAGCTATCTAATTGAATTTAAAGCCCTCTCAATGGGAGGGAACTCATGGGTGGCACTGTAAACTCAGCCAAATACACATGGCAGGAGAGAACAAAGATCCTAGAGAAAACCCTATTTCTTTCATATCTCTAGACAATGAAATTTCTTACTATATGCTAAATATCAATCCTTACACTGCCAGGCAAGCATACTGTATACCACTCATCAAAAAAAGCTTCTTTTTTGCAATAGATGGAGGCTACTGCAGAATTGCACATCTGGTCAGACACAGAGAGCATACATCTGAAAGATACCCAGTACTAGGTGACACATCTACAATTGAACCTCACGGAACATAGTGGAAGAAGAGAAAGCTAATGCATCCCTCAACTCTCACCAGTAAACCTTCCTTATACAACAGAGTGCAATGCACACAGAAAGTCACAACTGGCCAAGTTTTAAAGAATAAGAGACTGTAAGAGTGTAGGATAGGACTCCTATATGGAACCTCATCCACCCAAGGCTCAGGGACCAATGTAGAATAGGGGGTGGAAAGATTGTAAGAGCCAGAGCTGGTTTATGAACACAGGGAAGCAGAGGCTTCTGGGCCACTGAAAGCTTGCACATGTGAACTTGTGGCAATGGTGGCTTCGAGCACAGACCCATGTCAACTCAATTAAATAAGGGCCCAAAGCAGAGGAAAGAAATAGGTGGTGGGCAGCAGTAGACTGAGGACTATTGGAGACTGATTGCTGCTGGGTGAGGGAGAGTATGACTTACATACGATAACTAGATGGGCTACTAGACTCCAGTGGATAGATTTACACTGAAGGACATTTGGGTACACATGCCTGAACGAATAGGACTCAACATGTATGGTGGAATACACAAGGTCCATTGGGGAGATGGGAGAGGCATGGATGGAGGAGGGGGCTCTAAATTTGACTAAGTACTGTTGTATGAAATTACAAAAGCTCAATAAGTAAAAAACCAAAAACAAAAACCCAAAAAAGGTTATGCAATGAGGTAAACAGAATAGTATATTGATGTCTCAAAGAAGGCTCAGAATATGATATTTTTCATATCACATCTATAACTGATGCTTGAAAGGATGAAGCCATACACTGCTGAGACAAATACTGCCTGACAAGCCTTCAAACCTGGCATTTTGGTCACCAGATATGATAAATCAGCTAACTTTTAATACCTGAAGAGAACTCTAGATAATCTATTATCATCTGGCTTTATTTTTTAGCTTATATCAATGCCTGCATTGAGATATGTTGTGACACAAATATAGTTATTAATATAAGACTACTGATATTGTTGGCCAAATATATTTGTAAAGTGAGTCAAATCATCCTTCAGATGTAATATCAATGGAAGATGGCTGGCCTAATAAAGAACTGGAAGTTATTAAACTAATTTCTGTGTTATATAGTTCTGCACAATCTACCATAAAGTACAAAGAACAGTAGATCAAGGTGGGAAACTAAGAAATTACTATAAAAATATAAAAATGTACATAATATCTTTAGAGGGTAGATTAGCTAAATCTACTGGGTGCAGTGGTGCACGCCTGTAGTCCCAGCAAGTGCGGCAGAGGCAGGTGGATCTCTGTGAGCTCAAGGCCTGCCTGGTCTACACAGTGAGTTTCAGGCCAGCTGGGGCTACAGGGAGACCCTGTCTCAAAAAGACCAAAAAAAAAAATCTTTAAATCTAATCATATTTCATGCTACCACCTCTAAATCAGGCATATTCACACTATATTTGTGTTTGTCATATAAATGCAATAGTAAATATAACTCTCTGAGTAATGTTAATTGTTTGGTATAAAAAATCCTTAGTCAAAGAAAGGCCAGGAGGTATTGTATGGATTGAAGACGTAATGTTACACAGAAAGAGTCTAGCTCTTTCCTTCAGCCACTAGAAGGTGATCTCTAGGTCAGGAGATTGTCATGCCTCAGAGGAGTATTTTTGTTTGCCGGGGCTTTGGGCTACCAGGCAGTCTAACTGTGAATTATGATAGGGTTTTTGGCTACTTGGGTACCGCTTTGTCTCTGAAAGCTTGGAGAGACTAAATGTATCTGTCAAATCTCCGGAAAGGAATAAAGCACTAAGATTTGCCCATGTGGGCAGTATATGATGAGCTAGAATGAACAAACAAACAAAAAAACAAAATAAAACAAAACAAAACAACATCTCAAAGGCTCAACTTTCTCTGACTGGCCATGTTGCATGTGCACTGCCACAGTCAATGCCAGAACAGTAACATCCATGAGTTCATAGAGACAGTAGAATCTCTGCATTTTGTACTTGTCCTTGACTCAGTGTACATCTTCTTTTAGCCGATTTTAATTTGTAACCTTTCCCTATAATAAATTATAACTACATCAAGTGTCAGTGAGTTCTGTGATTCTAATTGCTGAATTTCAGGGTGATTTTGAGAAATCTCTTAAACTTGTGATTAATGTCAGAAGTCAGTAGTTTTGTGGTATGTTCAACTTTTTGGTTTGCTACTGTTACGTAAGTTAAAAGTTCTTTCATTAAACTATACTAATATCAAGGATGCTTACCTGAGATCCTTTCTTGCTCCCAGGTAGGTTAATTATGAGAGTTTTCCCTCTGATTCCACATACAGGCCTGAAAGGAAAGGAAAACTGGAATAAATAATAAATTGCAAATGAATGTCTGACTTAAATATATTAACCAAAGGCCAAGGTTTGGTTTACATAAGAACAAATGCTAGGAATAAAACTGTTATGGTAAGAGATTGCCAATTATACAAATTGGACATTCAGGCTGATGTTTTTATATTAATGGATAGTTAGTAGAGTGGACTAGAAAAATACACTGAACGTCATCAGAACAAGTTAGCTAATTTTAAGCACTCTGACCTTTTGTTTAGCCTTGGCTGTTACAAGCTGTGAAGTTTCAATGACACAGTGTAAAAAGATGGCTCATGTAGTAATACTGATGTTCAAATGTCCAAAATAAAAAGTATTCAAGGGTTGAAGAGGTCTAGATTGTGCTTTTACTTTCAACAAATGTAGAAACTAAAGTAAACTAAGGCTTTTCATATACTAATGGCTGTAGGGGTCCACTGATGATCATAAGCATTTTAAGCTAGGAAGGTCTTTGAGGAAACCCTTGTCAATTTCAAGCCCATATTTAAACCAGCTAATTAGATAAGCACTAGAAAACTTAGAAGTGGAAGGCCTGAAGTCTTTTTTTTTAACCTTTTATTAAATTTTTGATTTGATAATCTCAAGCATGTATGGAGTATATTCTGATTGCTACATGAATTAGAATCCTGCTTTTACTAACTGGCTGTGTTTTTATGTGGTAACATTACTTACTTTTTCTATTTTAAAAAAAGATTATGCTATTTAAAAACTTTTACAGAGAATAAGAGTCTTCAGAGTGTAGGTTGTTGGACAGGATATCCTATATTAAACTCCACCCATCCAGGGCTCAGTGACCATTGTGGAAGAGTGGATAGAAAGATTATAAAAGCCAAGGAAGAGATGCATGAGCATATGGAAATAAGAGTCGTAGAGGCCGCTGGGATCCTGCTCATATGAACCTACAGCAATGGTGTCAGCATGCACAAGACTCATGCAAACTCAAGTAGACAAAAACCCAGCACAGAGCTGTGGAAATGGGTAGCAGGCCCCAATCTTAGTGGAAGAATTATTGGCAGTCGATTACTGCTGGTTGAGGAAGAGTTGATCTTCTTGAGGGGAGAAACCCTAAACAGGATGACTAGACCTCAGTGGATAAATTTGTACTCAGGGACATCTGGGGACACTAACTTGACACAGTAGACCTTAACACAAATGACAGAATGTATGAATTCTAGTGGGGAGTGTATGGGAAGGTGCCAATGGGAGAGGGTATAAAGAGGGCTAAGATGTTCTGTATGAAATACACAAAAATTCAATAAAGAATTTACAAAAAAAACTTTTACAAGTTTTTAGTCATATAAGAGACTATTTTCCAAATGTTCTTATGACTGAATTGATTCTGTGACATTTTCATTTTCTAAAATAACCTATAACTATCATATATTTCATGATTTCTTTCTTCTTGTCCTACTTATAACCTGAAAAGGAAAAATTGACAACATTTGAAATGTTTACTGAATCATGCTTTGGCTGTCTTCACTCTAGAATTCATTATTTCATTAAATATTTTATTTTCACACCTTTAATTTTAGTGATATTTCTTCACATCTACTTTGTTCTGGCGGTCTAAATTGGATAAAGTATTTCTATTAGGGCCAAAATGTCACTGCATACCTATAAGTTTTTACCTTTTAAATGATGTGTGTGTGTGTGTGTGTGTGTGTGTGTGTTTATGTACATGGGTGGGGGGTATGTGTACATGAGTGTAGGACCCAGCAGAGGACGCTGGATTCCTTGGACCTAGAGCTAAAGTATGTTGTGAAATGTCTAATGTGGGTGCTAGGAACTGAATTTGGATTCTCTGGAGAAGCAGTATCCACTCTTAACAGCTGATTTACCTCTCTAGCCACAATATAAATTAATATATAAATATAAATATTTTATTTATTTATTTTTATTTTATATGTATGTCTTATTCCTGCATGTATGTAAGTACACCATGTGTGTGTAATATCTGGAGAGGTCAGAAAAGGGTGTCAGATCCCCTGGAACAGGAGTTTTGCCAGGGTGCTGGGAATCAAACCCAGGTCCTCTGCAAGAGAAGCCAGTACTCTTAATTGCTGAGCAATCTCTCAAGCCCCCTAATATAAATTTCTTAATATCTTCCTATTTGCTTAGGAATGTTTTCTGTCTTTTTCAACTAATATTCTACACTGCAGCCTTTTAAAATTCAATTTGATTATTAACTGATTATAAATAATAGCACAAGCAAATATAGTAGAATGCCAAAAATTTTAAGTGTTCCTGTTTCATCCAATAAATATGGCAATATACTACATAAGTATATAATTCTAAGAGCATTGTAGTCCCTCAAAGAATTTAGCATTACTTTCAGAAAGTTCATAAGTTATACATAAGAATTAGAAATATTCTCATAATAATTATTGCATGTTATGCTTTAAATAGTTCTTTGGAGCAGAGGAAAAAAAGCTTTCTGGGCGGGGGGACAGAGGAGATGGATCAGTGGTTAAAGCATTGGCTGCTTTTACATAGGACCAGGGTTCGGTTCCCAGCACCAAGGTGGCTAAACACTGTCCATAACTCCAGTTTCAGGGGATCCAACACCCTCTCCTCTCCTTTGTGGGCACTGCACAACATGGGTGCACTTAACATATATGCAGGCAATAAATAAATGAATAAATAAATAAATAAACAAATATTTTAGAAAAAACTTTCTGTAAGACATGGAAAAATAATCTGAGGTCTAGAAAGCTTGATTGACACACGCCTCTCAGATCTTTGTAAATGTAAAGGGCTCATTCCTATAAATAGTTTCCTTTTCTAAGTATAATACTCATTGATTTATCCTAATCAATGTTTTTCTATATATTTTAAATTTATTAAATACTATGGAATTTAGGTTTATTTTCCAATAAAGTTACACTCCTCGACCACAAAACAAATAAAAATGGAATTCATTCTTTTTATTACAACATTTGGTCATTAAACTCAGACCTAAAACAATATTTCATCTTTTTCTAAGTGGACACCCTAGTAACATGCTAATATAACTGTCAATTACAATATTTTGACTATTCTTTTTGTGTGCATATATATATATATGTAAAGTTTCACAATATAGCCAGAAGAGATTGTATATATTATTTCTCCTCATCTCTTTAGCTTTTTATTTTGTTAATAAATGAAATCAGTCACTTTTCATTCTTTGAATTCTCCGATCTCTTTGGAATTGAAACGTTCTGTTTTCTTCAACTTGGACTTCATTCTTGCTGTCTTATATCGAAGCAGCGGTGATTACCTCCAGAAGAACCTCAGGCAATAGAGCCTATTAATGTTCCCTTTTAGAGGAAGGAAGAGACTTATCAGGCACACAAGGATCCTCAGGAGGATCCTTCCTCTCTCCCTCTCTGAGATGTAAAGTTGCACTTTGGTGGTGTAGCTGTTCAGGGACTCCAACTGATTCAGCTTTCAAAAGCAGTCATCTATGTAGGGGTGAAGATTTAACTCAAATAAACTCACTAGCTCCCTAAACTGGACTTGGATATAAATTCTTTGGTCTGTCGGTATGTGATATGGAGTAAATAAGCATCTTTATGTTTCTCCACAGGAAGAGTGATGTTAACACTTTATAAGTTAATTTTGAGACTTTTTTTCATCTCTAGAACATACAGAGTCAATGGGGGGGGGCTCATTCTGTGTAACATTTTATATTTAGTAAAATATTTTTATAAGCACTATTACACTGAATAATTTTTAAAAGATAAAACCACCACAGTCTTAGCATACTCCAGTATTTATTAAACAACTAAAGATGTGTCCTGTTACGGGATAAATTATAACCCAAATCCTTAAGGAATTCATAAATGCAATAAAGAATGTTAAAGCGTATAAACAACACAAGACAGTAAGTTATGGAAGAAACTGAGGTAAAGTACCACGAGTTCAGAATAAAATAATTACATTTCTAGATGAGGGCATGATAAAAGCTTTATAGAAGAAATAGAAGTGAATGTCTTTATAAAGGAAAATACTTCAGTAGATACAACAGAAGGGGAAGAAAAATAGCAGCTTAGGTGTGTATGTGAGAAATACAAAAGCACACATAAAAAGAAGTACCAAATACATTTTGAGTACATTGTCTTTCACCTAATGAGCACATTTGTACTTATGGAAGATTAATATGAAATAAAAAGTACTATAGGAAAAAATGTTAGTTTGATAGATCAGCATTTTTCAATGTGTGGTCTCTAAACCAGCATTATATATGGCATTTGTGAACTTAGAAACTCAAAAATCTCTCACACTGATCCCACCCTCTTCTTCTCAGCTGGTGAGCTAGGAAAAGATTCCATGGGATGGGATCCCATAATGTGTATGTAAACAAGCTGCTAGATGATTTCAATGCTTGGAAAAGTGTGAGGACAGCTGTCATAAACTGTGCTTGGACTATTCTGATACTACTTATTCTCAGTGTAATCCTGCATTAATTACTGAACCTCTTTAATCAGATTTCAAAGCCACAGTTACCAAAAGAAGTAAACATAATCTTTGAAATATAATGCATCAAGTACCTAGGCACTCAACAAATACCCATATTATCTCAGAAAGTACACTGGGATCTGATAATGGAAGTCATATATTCACTATAAAGGACTAGACTGCATTCTTAAGGCATTGGGGGTCATTGATGTAGTCTTCTCAATATTACCAAGCAGCACCATTTCAAGAATTATACTGAGATGAATTGAAAATGGAAGTTATATGACATAAAGGAAAGAAATTCTAACAATAGAACATATTAAACAAAATTTATTGATTTTTGACCCACATTCTTTGATCTGCTACAATCAGTGTCTTGTTTTTTTTCTAGATATCCAACTTCCCTCTACTACTTTTTAACTTTCTTTTTTGACAGGGGTGCATTTATTAATGTTACAGCAATTATACTAAGATGACATGTAAATAATACCTAAGTTAGTTATTTCTTGTTTTTTG